ACAATTCCAGAGGAATTGTCGAAGCTGCCGTAGCGAGGCTACAAAGAAACGAGTAAGACGTAAGCCGTGCACCGGATTGAAATATTGTACGGCTTCCAGCGAACGGTATCAACCCTCGAACTATATAAACGGACGTAATAACGCGAGTCCCCGTATGCATCGGCGATGCATCCTCGGTACATTATTAAAATAAATATAGTCGGTATCGAGCGCGGCGAGTTCCCGTGACAGACATAAATCTCCGATCGCGATCGCGATCCCCCGTCCCCTGAAAAATCCGCTTATAACTGAAAGAGGCTTTCCTCGACGGGCAGAGCCTAATTACAGGCGAATCAATGCGTTTCTCGGTACAGGAGGAGATCGAATCGGTATTCCAGTCGGGGATCACCGAGCATAACATTATCAATGACGATCATACGACGTGTACACATGTATCAGGCCCCGAGTCCGATATTCAGACATCGAGGATGAGGCCGGCTTAGAATTCCATCGAGGTGGAGCCTTGACATTTCGTGGCCTGGAATCGACCGGCATAATTGATCGGCCTCCGCGGCTCCCATTCGACCGACGACAATGCGATTCCGTTGCGTCTGATACGGTTATACGAGCGACCTAACGTCTCGGGAAGACGCGGCTCCGTTTACATCGCCAGCCAGAATCCACGGTTGCTCTTAATAAGCCCGGCCAATCGATCGTCGTCGAGCTTCCGTCGTTCGACGAACGATTTTTCGAAACTTCGCGCATCGACACCGATTTAACGCGATTCTTAGCAATTTCAGCGGCACTGCACATCATTCCGAGTACAGTAATGTCTCTCTAATCGACGCTCAGTTTGTTCACAGAAATGGACAATTCGGGAAGAGGAGATACGATTATTCGAGCCTTGCGGTTCGTTTCCATAGTTATGAATTGTCAAGAACTGCTGCGAACGAGCTGCAAGGCTCGAGTAATCGTATCTCCTCTTCCCAAATTGGCCATTTTTCTGCACAATCTGAGCGTCAGTTAGGGAGACGTTACTGTAGTATGATCTAACAATAGCTTCCAGCATTCGTTCGATTCCAAGCCAACAATTTATTCCAGTCCTTTTTTTCCAACAGCTGTGCAGCAACGTCGATCGCGAATTATTCGTCTGGACGTTTCGATTTCATAGTAAAAAAAGAAAGCGGCTCCGAGATCGGAAATAGGAATAGGTTAAAATCGATGCCGCGAGATCCAGTAATCGATCACGGTTGTTCGCCGGGCCGCGAGCACGCAGCAGCCTCAGTTTTGCTTGGCCGAACTATGCGACTCAACGAACTTGTAATTGCATGCATATATATTTAATGGTACGTTATAACTCAGCGTTCATGTGATCATGACCTCGACCTTAGGCCGTTAAGGTAACATTCATTAAAGCCGCGTCCGTTGTAACGTAACATCGGAATGCAGAAATGAACGTTGCTGCATCTTCTGGACAGGCATATACCGATCGAGCCGCGCGGACTATCCTTTAACGTCATCGACACTAAAGAAGTGATTGAAAAGGATACACAAATGTTTACCGTGAAACTCACGGGAGCGTTCTTTTCGGTATTCATCATGCGCGCGAACCCTCAACTTGATGCTACCACGCGGAATGTGTACCTCGACCGTGCTTTATTACTTGCACAAATCGAGGCGCGCGCGTCCAGCGCTGGCAGAAATTCGAAGTTCTTCGGTTCGATCTCTGTTGCATCGTTAACCACGGTATTTCATGCACGCGCGTTTCAAGCCGGTTGTGCGAAAATGATCGCGACAAATTTATTACGTTAAAGCCGAAACGATTGAACGACCGAATCAACCCGAGCAAGGAAGACGTTCCGAGAATTTTAGAATATTGTTATATTTTTTCGCTAATGTTACCGGAACGTCGAATACCGTAGCCGAGCAACCGACGCTGACAAAAGGGAACCTGGAAGATCCGCGATCTCGAGGCCGAAAGTAACACACGAAAACGCCTCTAAATCTGTTTACAATAGGCCAAGAATCGCCGGGCAACCGCAAGCGGGAGAGCAAACGAACCGAACACGGTGCGCCGGATCGAAAGGGAACCGCAAAACGGTGAAACTTTCGAAAGGCCGATAAATAAGGCGACGGCGACGGCGCCGCTCGAAACGGCAGTTTCATAAACGGAGGTTCACGCGAGCTCCCCGAAAAGCTTCCCGGACCGCGCGCGTAGCTCGGTGTCCCTCAAAATGTTCGCCGCGGAGGAGATACACTTTCCATAAATTGGCCGGCACGCCGATAAATCGCAGGTGTGTGCAGCTGCCGTCGTTGCTCGGTCGCGTCGCCTAAAAAGAGGGATGCCGGTGGGCACAGGAGGGCGGGCGGGGAGGATCGAGGGGAGAGGAGAAAAAAATGTGACACGGCTACGGACACGGGGAACGTTCTAGCATACCTATCATTACCGGCGGGCCGTCGTGCAATTCGTTCTGGTTAAACGGACGTGCGCGTACCGGCGAAATGGTGGCTGCCCGGCCACGACAAACAAATGCCACAAGTGCTGCAATTTTATGTCGTTAACGACGCCCCGGCTTCGGGACGCGCGCGCGTGTGTGCGAACGTACCAATAACACCGTGCGCCTCTCGCGGCACTAAAAATTTTATAGCGTCGCGTTCGCCGACGCAACGCCGCGAACAGAGACGGAGGACCGGGACGGGGCCGGAGAGAGAGACGGGGATGGACGGATAGCGGTGGCGAAACCCTGTTTAACAAAGTAATGACTACAATTATTCTGCTTTACATCTGGACTCGCGAGGCGAACCCAGGCCACGGGTACCCCGGCGAGGAAGACGGCGCAATTTACTACAGATAATCGTCGATCAACAAGAGTTACAACTGGCTCGATCGTCAGCTACCCGCTCGAGCAGCGAGCAACGCGCGTTTCCAACGGCCTACGACTTCACTGTTACCGTGGCGAGGGAGTGTTTAGTAGCGATGCGGATCGAATATATTAGACAGTGACCGACGGGCTGGCGGTTTATTAAGGCCCCGGCGAGAAATCGCCGCATCGACGCGTCCGAGGAGTCTCACGCTCGGCTACGCTTCGACACCGTCGCCGCCTAATATCGACGAAAAATCCCACGATTTAACCCTTTCGATACCCAGTCTCGACGATCCGTGCCGTACGCGGCACGGGAGAGCAGCCGCGTTGCTTTCGCGGTATTTACGATCACGATTCTTGTACGATTTGTAATACGAGAAACAACGTAAGTGGAAATAGTGCGACGTGAACGTGGTTCGTATATAATAGGAATCTAATAGAAAGTTGGGCAAATAGAATGGAAAGAGGTTAAATATAGTGTAACTTAAAAGTGGAGAGATTCATTGACACTGGCATAATCGAGCACCGAACGAGAGCAACGCGTATATCGTCTTCGAAAACGATATAACCGCGTTATTCTACGATTTTTATTGCAAAATACGTAGGCCTCTTTGCAGCCTCGTTAATTGCGAGATAAAGGATCCGATATCCTTTGATGTTTCAGCGTTAATGAAGCGGAAACTGGGAAGTTATTTTCGCATTTTGATAGCCCTACTAAAATTCAATGCGTCCGAGTTTCCAAACCTGGCTAAGCGCGATTTGCATAAGCGCGGCGCAACGATGGGCCCGGAATTTGCATAAACAATAAGAGGAACCGGGTCCAGTTCCCGTGCAGAAAATCAGTTTTCTGAGATAAAACGGAGGTCTGGTCACGGGAACACGAGGCAGAACGTTTTCAAGGAATGGCCAGATCCGTCATCAGGGGGGTCGGTAGCAAAGCGAGGAGGCTTGCGTGCAGCTAGGATATGTCGTCTTCCTCGTGAGATAACAAAGCATTCCTATCCAGGGCCGGCGTGGGGCTCGAGCCCCGTAGGAAAAGTTGTTCGCGTGGTTCGTGTCGTGGCTCGTTCGATTTACATAAACACGTACTCATCGATTGCCGGACCAGATTGCCCGGCGTTATTACTTCTACGACCGGTTAACTCCTCCGTAGGACCGCGAATAATCGCCGGACCCTAATCGTTTCGCTGCGCGTCGGCCACGACCGCGGGCCCGAGCCGGAGGAGATCGACGCCCAGGATGCGTTCGGGGTGTCGTGTCGGTGCCACTTTATTTCGGATACGTGGCTCGGTCACGCGTGATTAGCGCTAGGAGAGATTCATTTTCTCGGCATGATGATTGTTTGATCGGCACGGCAGCGTGTCGGTGCTCCTCGTCTTGCGGTAGCCATCGCGGTGCCGTGTGGTTTTCGTAAAGAGAAAACTGAAATGAGCCATGAAGGAGGAGACACAGAAGCTATCTCGGAGAACAGAATCATTGGGGCCTGTACTACGGATTTAACGGGAACAAAAACTGGAGGGTTTTCTTTTTTAACCGCGACATCGATGCATCGAATCGTTCGAAAGAAGGAGGAATGAAAATTGTGTCGGTCTTGTTGAGCAAACGCGAGTTATTAGTACACGATTTTCTGATTATGCGTATCTCTAATCAAATTAATTTAGTCGTATCTTATTTCTTTATCAGTATTTCAGGATAATTAGTAGACTATTCGATAAGCAAGCTATTTTAAAAGAATCGATTTTACAAGCTATTTTAAAAGAGTCGGAGTGGAGAGAAAATTTCTTTCCGGAACAGCACTATTAATCTCTTTTCCGAAATTGAATTTGCAAACCTATGTACACCATAAATGCGTAAAAATCCACAACTCCATTTTCGCTACAGCAAAAATTAAATATAATCTTTAGCATTCTGTCTGTCCATAACGATACCAAAAGAATACGAAAGTATCTATTAAAAAAAAAAATAAAAAACAAGAAAAATTATAACTTCTAGTATCGAATAAAGCCGTCGCATGCTGAAACATTAAAGAACGAACGATTACTCGTGCTCCAAAGTTACCAGAATTCTACCGCACGTGCAGAAATAAAAGAAGAAAATTGGAACATCTTTTCTCGGGCAGCTGGTTAATAATTAATTAGCTTTTTTGAAAGGACTCACCGAGTCGGCACGCGATGGAACCACCGGCGTTGGGGAAACCATTCTTCTCCGACCCTGAAGCAGACCGAATACATCGTTAGATCGAGGAGCCGATAGCGGGTTCACGCAGACGGATAAACGGCGGAATCGAACAAATGCAGATGCACGCACCGCCCACGACGCAACCCTTTCCGTATACCGTCGTTAAAGGGACCGCCCTAGATGTCGGAACCGACCGATCCGAATGGAATCAATGGAAAGATTTTAATCAAATCGATCGAGGTTTCGAGCGGGACCCGTGGGATCTACGGTTCATTGTCTATGTGCTGACAATGCGAACGCGCGCGGTTACTCCGGTATCATGCGAATCCTTGGCTGGAATGCTGGAATGTCCTTCGAACGAGCTATGGATCAATGCGGTGGCACGGACACTTCGTTTTACATGATCGTTAAGCGAACCGTATCATTTGTGCAATTCCGACCGCGTTAATTAAGAGAGCTTTCTGGAGATCGAATGATAAAGTTCGGATTCCGGTGGCGGTGCCATTAAAACGTAAGTTGTCCACTTAATTAGTTTGTACGTTGGACCGAGTCTTTACCGATTTCTACAATTAGCTGCGTCGTAGACTGCGCTATTTACTGTGTGAAACGTGATCAGATAGCATGAATATCTTCGCAAACTGAGACTATATTCTATAAATATTTTCTGCGATATATTTGTTCTAAAATCTGTAGAAATCATGATGGATCGGCAACAGTGGTGCCAATCAAACTGGACGCAGTTTTGCGATGCTATGATTTCTATAAACGCACCGATCCATATGCAAAAATTAATTCTAAAATGTGCGCGAAGCTATCACGAATAGAGAACAACGGCAACAAAATTAATCAATACATAAATGAATTCAAATTTCATGTTTGCACATGTACAGTTTGTGTCTCGAAAAAAAGATGCACCTAACGATTGAGCAAAACGAGGAACAAAGGAGGGTAAAAAGGCGGATCGATCGAGAACGATGGGAGATAATGAATGATTAAAGGCAAACATACCGACGAATAAACGACGATGTGCGAACGGGCAAAGAAACGGGTGCTCGGCGGAGAAAACGATGCACCTGGCGAGCGGAGGATCGAAATTGGAGGTGGTTTCTCGCGTACAGCCGTCGTATCCGACAATCTGGAACGCGCGAGTGGGGGTAGCAATTCCAATCACTCGGGGATGGAACGCGTATCGATCGATCGATCCTCGAATACCACGTGCTCCGCGAGTGCAACTGTAGGTGGTAGTCGGGAGCACCACCCACGAAGCACCTACTTAGCATGCACGGCCGGATAGAAGGTAGCTACCTACCCATCTGACAAGGTTAACTAATACAGCTTCCCTGGTCGCGCGTCCTGTCGCGCGCGAATACTCTCTTGATTAGAACCACGTTGATAAATCAAGGGGACGAAGCCGGACTGTCGACTATCGTGTGGGAACCACGGTCAATTCTCCCTAATTGACGCTCGGATTGTACGGAAAAATGGACAATTTGGGAATAGGAGACACGATTGCACTCGAGTGGTGACTCTGGCGCACCATTAAAATTGTTACATCACGTTCCAAGATAATTTTTATATTATAAAAGTCTGGACGTAAAAAGTTGTTAAAAGTCCAACTAAATACTATTAAAATGGAAATACCATAAGTCAGAAAAATTAATTTAGATTTACAGTTGAAATGGCTTCGAGTGAAAAGGGTTAACAGTCGCCGATTCTCAACAACTATGAAAACGAGCCTCTTCCCAAATTGTCCATTTTCGTGGGCAATCCGAGAAAAATATTCTATTCTCTATTTTAAAAAAATGGCCTGCACGCGCAGACCATTCGAATGAACTATAGCGCGTATGCAATCGAGGAGGAAGTTCTCGCAAGAATAATATCGTCGTCGGTAATTAAAAATCAATAAATCGTTGTAGGAAGTGGATATAAAAGTAATCCACTTAACATACATAATATACGCCTGATAGGATCTTCCTCGACACGGCCGACAATAGACAGTCTGGATTCGAGACTAACGAGAGGTCGTCGGGAACAATAGAGATCGAATAATTAATTAAGCGAGAGATTCTGTGCGCATCGACGAGACAAATATTTGCACAATTAAGTCCTTCGAAAGTAGTTTCTTCGACTGCGAGCTGTTTACCGTCCTTTCGAGCGGTTATATTGTAGCGTACCAATGCAGCAGCGGTATTCTACATCGATTAAATCGGTAGAGTCTGTAACGAAGGAGCTCTCGTTCAGGCACGATTTAATTGGTCTCTGAGTAGGACTATGCATTATTCCAGACAACTCGGTATGTCGGGGCACGTCAAAACGTTGGAAACGAGAAAACTTCGCAGCGGGACCACTGCTACCATGCTTTCCATCGGCTCGCGAATACTGTTTCTTTATCCTTGTGTTCGGGAGTATTGAAACCCCGCGGTACAGCAAGCTCGCAGCATGAGGCTGCTCGGTGCGAGCACAGCACCTATGAAACTGCCTGATTACTCGTTTTCTCCGTGTTTCAACGTCCGCGGTCGTTCGTCGGCCGACGTATCGAGTCATAAATGGGACGATTAGCACTATATGAAAAGTCTATTCTGAATACCGACGAACGATACCGGAACAATAGATGTGGTCACCTGCGTCTTGCCAATCGGTGCAGAGAATTATTATTTGAAATTATTAGAATTATTAGAATTATTAGAACTATTAGAAATTATTAGAATTATTAGAATTATTAGAAATTATTGGAATACCTTTTTAATAATTCGGAGGCTAACGACGAGTCGGCCCGAATCGATGTAAAATGTTCTACTTAAAAAAAAAGTACGCATTGTTATAATAATAACTTGTTTGCATACTCGTTCGTTCAGTTCGCGCATACGCCTCTGCGGTTAATGAAAATATATTGAATTACATATGCGAATAATTATGATAACATGCACCTGTGAGGAATGGTAGAACCATTTTCTTCTAGTAGCTATAATATTTTAAGAGATAATGTTCACGCGCGCATAAGCACGAAGCCGTTATACATGTATGCATTTGCATACGAAGCGAGTGCTTATACTATATAAGGGTAGATTTGATATAACTCAATAAAAGGTACGATGTTAAGATAGCGAAGAATCATTTACATGTTGCCAGAGAGATACGAACACGTTAGCGTATTAAAAACGTTGCATTTTTGCAGAAACGTATTAAAAAAAAACAACAACAACAACAAATGCTAATCTACGCCGATCGTCTTGCTTACAATTGGTATCGATCGTAAAATCTTCCGCGCAGAGGAAGGCTGCGTTTATATTCGAGCCTGGTTATAAGATAATATTACCTTAATATGCGAAGAGACGTCGAAACATCCGAAGCCTAGCTATTAATATCGAAGGTAATGAAGAAAGTATTCCATGGGTATCTTATCTACAATAATAATAACCTCAACATAATTCAATAAAGTCGTGAATTTATTCGTCGTTTAATTAAACCTCTCGCGGTGGAGAAACATTTTATTTAAATCCGGTTGTGAAATAATACCAGGCGGATTGGCGCGTACGCGGATGAGCAGATCCGCGGTCCAGTGATTAATAATGAAGATAGTAAATGGAAATTGTGCAGAGACGCAAGAACAAATAAGATAAACTCACCATCGTACTCTTCGGGCAGAAAATGGAAACCCCAGTCGAGACTGAACATTTTATAGTCTTCCTTCGTTCGATGTTCCAGTATCATTAATGTATCTTTATATTGTACCGCGGGTCGATTAATGTCAAAGATCCAACTTCCACTGTCACTAGTTCACTACGTTTACGTAAACAATATTCACAGTGTCCCGACGTTCGAATACGTACACTTTTTCTTTACGATTTATAAAATCTGGGATTATTACTCAGCTTGAAGTGGAACTATGATCTAGCATTAGGTTCATTTGTTACTGTACAGCTGTTAAGAATTCTTTGCAGATGTCAATCTTTTCAGTTCTACCGAGTCGGCGGCTGTAAACAATAGAGTAATCGTAATAACTTCCTTCGAATTTGAATCGAATCAATTCTTTTGGTATAAAATCCGTTCAAGCTCGCGAGAAATGCTTTCGGAAGGATCGGGAGGGTGCGCACGGCACCTTTCAACCGGTGATTATTATTTCGCGAAAAGATCTACGAATAAGAAACGTGTGCACATTTTCCAGCGCGAGCGAGCGGAACGACATTTCTTGTCAAAGAAGCAACCCGATCGAAACGATCGCATCGGCTACTGTTCGAGACGGCCTCGCGACTTCTTCGAAGCTGCTGTTCCTCGAATAGCTCGGGATAATCGCGAGCCACGGTGGAAAGCCGGCCAGGATTCCGGCCGTTCTCGACCTCTGTCCGTGCGCCGTGGAGACCATAGATTACTGTTTTATAACGCCCCGAGATGGAACTATCTCTATGCTAGGCGCGGCCGAGAGCAGCCGGTGCCCGGCTGCAAAAAGGCAGAAAAAGGCGGACCGAAACGAAAAACCGTCGCCGCGGATTTCCCTCCGCGTTCCCTTGCGCCACGGTGCTCGGATCGCAGGTACCATTGGCGGTTTCCTACGGCTCTCTGTTCCTTTATCAGGATGGTTTTGCCACTTTGCCGCTAGAAAGGAACGCGCACTTACCCGCGCGGAGAGGATCATAAAACACGTCGTAACCGTACTATTTTCGCGCGATCCTGCCGATACAGCCCCGTGCACAGCTTTTGTGCACCGCGCGCACCGGCCTGTTTGCCTCGCAGACGAGGCGTGTCGTCGTTTCCCCGCATGCAGAACGGACTACTGTTTTTCGCGTTAGCGAGCGATCGCCCGTAATGACCCCTCGTATCCCCGTGGTCGATCTATCGGATCCGATTCCGCTTTTTTTCGGGAACCCTGCGGTCGGATCGCAACGATCGCCCTGCCGGTCAGTCTCGCTACGAATCGCCCGAGCTCGAAAAACACTCGGATAGAGTCAAATTGGCTCGAATCAACGTTGAACTTTCTCGAGACGTTAGTGGGTTAGTAGAATTTGAACAGTGCATTTCGTGCGTTTGCATCGGCTGTGCAATACGATCGATCCGTTGCTCGATTCTACGCGACGTAATTCTTACGTGATTGTCGCAATTTTCTGCGAAACGCCGAATACTTTTGTTAAGAAATAACTAGATAATGTAATATAATATCGTAAATAAAACTAGAGAAGATTGTTCAACGTTGCATCTTTTTGTACCAATTTTTGTATCATTTGTACCAATCTGTTCGAATCCATCGAATTTTTAAGCCGAGAACGTCGGAAGTAATGGGTTAACGATCATCTCAGCGATCTTACGTAAATCCGCGCGGATCGATAGAATTTTTAGGACCGGCCCGATGGAAATTGAATAACAAGGTGCGCATAGAAAGTAGAAAGCGCATAAAGGAACGTTCCCGAACCGCGTTTCCTCGCAAAAATGTCCTGTCGGCCGGGCTGCCCGAAGCGTGAAACAAACTGTTCCCACATTTCTCTATATCGCTTGACCATGAAGAAATAAATCGCCGGATCACCGCGTCGATCACTCTTTATCCTTTAAACTATGACTCAGAAGCCTGCGCGGTTACGGAGGCGTAACGTAACAGTTCTGGCGGCGCGAGAAAAACCGTGGAATTTCGAAAGAACTCATGCAAAATAGCCGGTAAACAGCTTTCCGAAAGCGGGCAAAAGAATCTTGGCTGCTCCGCGGAACGTACAACAATGAATCGCGGGTTTCTAGGGTAAATCGATTCGCGTCTGTCGAACCGTGACTCGAATGGGTTAATTACAGTTCCTGGAAATTGATAAAAAGCTACCGCCGCCGCCGTTGCTGCTGCTGCTGCTTCGCGAATTAGGCTAGCAGAAAAAGCCTGCCATATTTGCAAAATGCCGCTGAAAAGTGCTCTGCTCGAAATGCTCTTGCTTGCGTAACCGATGTTCTAAAGATGCATTTCAGCACTTTTCAATTGCAACCGGAGACGAACCATTCGACGAACTATTTTGCTCGAACAAATCCATTTCAGCGAATAGAATGTCTTTGAAGATTGTCATTCTTTTAGGATCTGCAAGATATGTACCTGGCAAGAGAAGAATGCTTTGGGAGAATATTTAACATCGACGGACAAATTTGTGGGTCGAAAGTGTCCCTAAAAATTCGACGACGGTGCATCCTCTCGTGGAAAACCGTGCGATTAAATTCTAAAACATCTGCAAAATTATGCGACGTTGATTTAGAATCGCCTCGTATACCGTCTTCGAAGATGTCGCAGCTTCGTTTCGGAGCTCGCGTCTCTGAGATAACGCAAGCGAGATCGCGAAGCCGAATCGTACGTTTGAAAAATTTGTGCGACATTAATTTCGAACGGTTCTGTACACGGCTGAAGGAGGTTCATCAGAGGAAGAAGTCATGAATGAAGATGCTCGTGATGGATGGAGGATGCGTGGTTTCCTGGTGGACTAAAAGAAACATCGAGGCAAGAAGGACGAGCACGTGGCGTGGGAGTACGCGGGGATGGAGCGAAGGGAACGAAGGAGCACGCGTTGTGGGCGGACCTCGAGGAGTTGGTGGAGGTTCGAGAGGCGGTGTTGGTAGGGGCCACCTCGATAAAACCAGAACTACGAACGTGAGCTCTGATTCGAACTTTCTCCGGAACGGTACACAAGAACTTTCTTCCTCTATCGTTACTGCCGCTCTCGAAGAAATGTCATGAGAATCGTACACCGGCGATCTAATGCGCTCGCAACTTTATCCGGACCTAGGGGCAGAGCAGCACGAAATTCCTCCAACTTCGGTGGACTGGAATTTTTCTGTCGATTTTCGACTCGAGGATTTGGTGGCGTATACTTTGCTACACCAAAAAGAACAATTTGAATTAGGCTCGATTCTCAGCACGATGCAGCAGTTTCATGGCACGTAATATAACGCATAAACTTTGGAACTATTTTTTTGTGTACACAAATATATTATTTTAATTCTATGATGTTACAATATCGTTCCGTGCGTTACACAAAGACTTAACCCTTTGCACTCGAGTGGTGACTCTGAGACACCACTAGAATTCTTAATTCACGTCCCAAAATCATTTTTATATTATCAAAGTTTAGATTTCCAAAATTGTTGAAAGTTTAACTGTTATACGAGTCATCGCGAGACTCAATTTCGTATGCACAAAATGCACTTTGTCATATAAAATGGAGATACTATAAATCGGAAGAATTATTTTAGATTTACGGTTAAAATGGCTTCGAGCGCAAATGGTTAATTGAAGCGACAGTCTAATTATCGTGTCTCGAAGAAGAATAAACGGTGCTAAAATTTTGTTCTCCAGAAAATCCGATCGTTCGAGCCGATCGAGCGCCTATCCAAAGTGAATCACCGAAGAGTGAAATGAACCGTTCGGAAGAAGTGTCGTTAAGCCCGTGGGACCGAGATAACTGGTTCGAATGATTTTACACCGATCGACCCAAATTTTTTCTCGCCAACAGTAAAAATAACACTCCGCACGACGAATTCGGCGCGCGCGGCAAACCTCGGCGATCGTTCGTCCTTGCGCAAAATTGTCTTTTTCCTCGGCGAGCTTGAAATCTTTCTATTAAGAATAATCTTGAACGACACAAAAGAACAGATCGATCGCGACGCTGACCTTTCATGCTTTATGCATGCTCGTGCAACAGAAGAAATATCGACTGATACGCGAAGAATGAATATTAATATATTTAAATCGAAGATCAGATGGGATTATGTGACACGACAAAGTGCATATTTTTAATCGCAATGTTATCTCGGTTAAATATTGAAAGGAAATTCTTCTCTGCCACTCCGCAACTTTTTAGACCGCGGAGATTCCGCGCGTGCATGACTCAACGAGTACAAGATACATAGAGTAACAAAAAATATTGGAAAAATGTGTAAATATTGCTGAACCAACATTTTTTTACAAGCAATTCAGATGGCCTTTCGGTGCCTTTCATAGGCACTGGGAAATTAAGCTTCCCACCCACTTTTAGTGCGCAAATGGACACCATGGTTAAATATTCCCACCGTTGAAGTGCGCCGCCATCTATATATAGACTACTTTCACCCCTAATCTCGAGGGATGAAAAATGAAAAATAACAGGAAAGCGATTAACAGCTGTATCGCTGTACGATAAAATTATGGCAAGCGAACGTTCCAATTGTTTTGGTGATTCGTATCGCGCCCGTGAAAGGGTTAAACGATATAGAACGATCGAATTCGCGGCGGTAACAAATTCTGCGAGGCGAAAGAAACGCTTCGAAGAAGCCTGATCGATTCGAGCGTTCAATAAGACCACCGGCGCGTCTCGCCGCAGAAAATCCCGTCGATGAAGCAACGTAACCGATCCTCTAATCACTTTCTCCGACTGCCCTTTGGAGACCGGATCTGCATAGAGCCGCGGCTGATTGCCCGTAATTAGCGACGCGTGGCCCGCGCCCACGCCGGGTCATCTTCGCCGAAGTAGACGAGGAGGACGATCCCTAACGAACCATAGTCTAAGGTCGTTCACGAGCCACGCGTAACCTACAATATACCTACGCACCCAGCACACCCACACGACGGACATCGAGAGACACGGCTCGGGCTCTCCTCTCTGCTGATCAACGTGACGATTCACTCTGCCATACTCCCGGCTATGTTTCTTGTCTCATTGCCCGAGCGACGACCGGCCAGCCGCGCGCTCTCCTGTCCGACAAATTTCAGTTATTGTTGCGAAATGCGACACAATTAACAGGACTACGCCGGCGTTAAATCAGCGCGAATCGCCGCAGCGATCTCCCTCAAAATGTCCTCCCATAAATGTTTGTCGAGCCAGCAACGCTTTTATTTATTTCGAAGGACCGGCCGGGTGATTTTGAGTCACGTGCCTCGCTTTATTACCTGTTGCTTAGTCGCGGTCGCGTTTATGCGTTTCTGACGCGTTCATAGTTCTAACGTGTACAATTTTTATTCGCGTACTCATTTATTGCTACCGTTTTGGATCCATCGATACCATCGTCTGCTAGAGGTTGATATCTTGCGAAGGGAAACGATTTTAGAAATCGACGGTACTAACGTCTAAATTATTGTGATACTTTAAAACGTCGGTCGATATTTTAATTTTTTGATAGCTGTGTAATATATCGGCGTATAATTTATACGTTAGCGACATTCCTTCTTGGAGCAACAATTTCAAGCATCGTAATTGTATTCGTAAAATAATGAGGCTGCAAAGGATCGCGGTGATAGATCGAACAAATTATGAGCAGGCGAAGAGCGTGCACGAGATCGTTCTAAATGAAGCGATAGCTTTCACAACAAGGTGGCTGTATCATTATCGCCTATCGAAGCACTTGTCCCCAAAAAAAACCAATTTCCTGTATCGCGTTTTTGCGTCTGGCCGGGCCTAAACGCGACGCTAATTTCCGTCGTATAAAAAGCAAGCATGAAAACGCGAACAAAATCGCACCCGGAGAGCGAGCCGGAGCTTCTCTCGCGAGAAGGAAAGTTGAACGGCAAGATTTCTGGGGAAAAAATTCGCGAGCAACGCCAATCATATCGCTCGGTTTCTTTGATTTTCGCCGGTTTAATTATATCGTCCGTCAACCGGCTCGCACCTAAAACGACGACGCGGACGCCGATGGGAACACCTGAGAATGGAATCGGATTCATCTGGGCCCTGGGTAAAACATGAAACGGATTACGCCGTGCGCCGAGCACGACACAATAATGAAGCACTTTCGGATCGGAAACGGCGTTTATCTAGGATCAGTTTATAAACCGCCAAACGGCCGCTCGTTGCTCAAGGGATAACAGTATTAATCATGGGCCTGAACGGTCCCCTCGATTGCCCATCGGCTTCGTTTTATTTACGATTACGCGATACCGTCGTTTCGCTCCCGTAATTAATCCGCGGCCGGGCTGTGAAAAGATTACGCGGTGGCCAGCATCGAACGACGCGACGCGACGCGATTATCCGGGTAAATCGAACCCCGTGTTTTACATTTTAATGCGCGCGGATCGGCGAAATAACGTGCGAAGTCGAGATGAATTATCGGGAATATGTTCGAAATACGAGGCGACGTCGTGATCGATAGCCGAGAAAATCGACGGGGATCTATTGGCAGCTGGTTCCGACGCTCGGAACTTTGATCTATGCGAATCGTTCGCGTAAATTGATTTTAAATATGAGCCGGTTAAATGGTTAATGTAAATTGATTTTAAATACGACGTGGCTAATGGCCGGTGTAAATTTATTTTCGATATGAATATTGGAGCCGTTCGACTTTGATACATGTCTAATCTGCATTGATTTTATATACTTTCTTGTTTAATTAGAACGCGCTGTAGCTTCTGGAAACGTTTCAGGCGAACCCTGTTCAACTCTCAATTTTTAAAACAATACAGTTTCGCTTCTTGCTAAACGGTAACGATAATTCTAGCCTGCTTCGAATGAGACAGAGATCATTAAAAATGGAGCATAAACGGAAAGAGCCTTTGAAATAATAATCATTTAAGTCTCGTCGAAATGCGACTCTATAAATCTGCGAACAGTGTGAAAAATCGGATAAATAATTTTGTCGTTTTCGTACGCGCATCGGCGAGTTTCTTGCAGCGTTTAATGCGCAAGGGTAGATTTTTCCCCCCGATGAGAGAGAGAGAGATAGTCTATTATCTGTGGTGAAATTATCTCTTGTCGACGGCGTCCGTTAAACGCATGGGCAAATGTCGCTCGTAAATCGGCGTTAGTACCTAGTAACATTACTCCAGATGCAGTGCTTTCTCTCGGAACGCGAGTGTCGCGCATTACAGTCACCATGATGAATGTAATGACAATAAATTATTCCGGATATCGGCAGTAAAGCCGCTTTATCGCGCGGCCGTACGTAACCGTGGCTTCCATTAAGAAAGAAATCGGTTTCGCCGGCCGGTGTATCGTTCCGCTTGAAGCTTTTATTCAGACAAATTGCTTCCACGTCTCCGAGCCTTTTCACCGGCGTCATTTTTTCCCCGTTCCTCTCGTCTGGAATCTCCGCGATTCATTTTTCTACGAACGCGCGCGTTCCGCGGCCCTTGCGACATTTCTAATCGCTTCGCGTGCTTTCCACGCTCGTGTCAACTTTAATCTGCCAAAACGTGGCACGTCGAGTACAAAACGTTTCGTCAGATTTTTTATCCCGTAGAAGCAGCTTCTTCTCGAATTCAGATTCTCCCGATCGGGTGTATATTCGCGCGACAAACCGCGCTCTATCTATTAATAGACCGCGCGTATTTTTATGCGTTTCCATCGCGTACACGCGTGACAAAACTAATCGGATATACGATACGAGTAAATGATCGGTATAATTGAAGTACGATGAAATATTAATACGTTCGCACGACCATTGTTCTTTTAAGTGCCGCACACGCATTCTCTATACGCTTTCAAAGCCTTCTATACGCCTTCCGAAACGAAATAACTCGTCCGAAATTCGGACAAATTCACCGAGCTCCTCTCGTGGCAGAAATGAAGTACAAGCGTAATTAACTTTGTCGAATACGCACGATTTCTCGTACTTTCCTCTTGTTCAAACAGTTCTCAGCTCGCGACAACGTTCTATCAATTTCGAGAATAATTTCAGCATTTACATTGCCGAAGAAAAATCTCGAAATTTCACGAATCTGCTGAAATAAATCGCCTAATTCCTGCAACTAGCTCTATCTCTGGACTCTGTCGAGCCGATTGTCACGGTCTCGATGCGAATCGGTCGCGTCCGTGGCACGTAGGAAGCGCAGGCTCTGCACAGGAGCAACAACAGCAGCAACGACGACGTCGACGACGACGACAACGAGAACGATGACAACGACGAGAGGGTTACATCGGTGTGGCCGGCCGGCACCCGGGGACCGTTGTAAAGATCAAATCGATGCGTCGTTACACCGTGTCACGAGGCTGCACTGCGCGGCTGCGGTGCATGCGTCTGCACCAGATGCACTCGGTGCACTTGTGTCGCACACGAAGAGAGCCGCGGCGCGTCGAGAGCCGAGAATCGAGAGAGAGAGAGACGTGCACGTACACGTAGGCAGACGCACGCGTGTGCGCGGCGAACGTTCACCGGTGCATTCGCGGTCGCGGCGGATCCGACGCCGAAACTGTGTCAAGGCTCCGCGAACACCGGAAGTCCCGTGTCTCCACCCCCGAGTTTTCACCGGAAACGAGGTGAACGCGCCGCGGGAAAGCCGATTCTTTCGTTTCCGTGGTTCGTCGGCGACGACGCGCGAGAAGACGACGGGTCGACGACGAGTCGACGTCGAGAGACTCGAAGCCGGAGTCGAACGCGAGGCAGAGCCGAGTTCTAGGTACAACTGGTAGGGGCCTGCGCGGGGTCTTGGGAAGAGCTGGAAGGGAATAAGGTCGAAGGTCAGGGCTATGCCGTACGACCCGTGACCCCTGACCCTCTCGATCCCTCCGACCCGGCCCGATCCGCCGCGCCGCGCCGCTTTCCCTCCCTGCTCGCTGCCTCCTGCTCCATCTCTCTCCCTCCCTCTCTCTCTCGCTCTCTCTGTCTCTCTCTTGCTCCCTTCTTCTCAGTCTGCTCTCTCTCTTCTCCTTCGTCTTCTTCTTCTTCTTCTTCTTCTGCGCTCACATGTTCCCCGCACGCCCCGCTCCCTATCTTTTAAACGCCGCAACAGCCGTCGTTCTAGCTCGCGAAACTTTTTATTTCAACTCCCTGCGGTTTCGGTTTTGGTTCGTCCGGCCGCCTTTATTCGGCTTTCGTTGCGTCGTGCACCATAGTTGACGCGGACTGCGGTCGCTTTTCTGTACCGTTCGATCGCATGCTTCGATTTGATGGAGTGACCTGCGATGTCGCCGAACGACAGCGTCGAGATAAAACGAAATGCTAGATACGCCGTTTCAGCTGTATTTTTGATTCGTGACTTCTATGCTTTCGAGTTCGATTACGAAGCTTCCGAAGCTTTTCTCGAGCTCTTTGCACGTGCTCGGGTCTTTGCACGGTTTTTTCTAGGCATCGTTGGATTCGGTAAAGTCGCCTACGACGGTCAGAGACGACAATTGTGGAGAAGAAACGAGATCGGTGATGCGTTGTTTTAGTTCGCGTTTATCAAAGATTAACAAGACCTGATACAAGATCGCAAACAAATTGGCGACGTAAAGAGATTCTCCGGTGCATTTCGTTCAACGAACGCGCTTTACAAATTTATATCTGGTTTGGAAAAACAAGCCAGCGAGCGTGACGAAAAGACAGCTCCGCTGAACAACCAACTCGAACGTCAGCGACAAATTAATTCCATAAAACACACGAGACACAAAGAACACGCGACGACAGCTATCGATACATATTCTCCGGATCCGTATGAAACCATCGGCAAAACCTACGGCATATCCGCGGCATCATACGTCGTGCAAAACAAATTTTTTCGACGCTGCGACAAGAAAACTCTCGATGGATGCACTGACAACGCAGATATCTGGCCGACAAAAGTTCACGCGGCCGCTCCATAATTCAGGAGAAACTTCGCGACGAAAGAAGCGCGGGTCGACAAGAAGAGGAGAGAAAAACGGTCGGCGGGAATAGCGTTCTGCGTAAGAAGATCGAGGTTGAGAAGTGCGATATTTTTGCAGCGGTCAGACCGGGATCAGGGCCGTGTCGCGCGCGCGGCGACGACGACGACGACGTCGGGAACGAGCGGCACTGTGTCCGTTCGTTTCAGAGCTCGTTTCAGTGTCCGGCCGCGTGCGTGAAAGTGAGCCACTTAATATGGATGTGTGCGGAAGACCCGCATCGGACCTCTGAACCATGACTCCTGCATCGGGACCATCAGCGCCGAGCCGAGCCGCGCCGCGCCGCGCCGAGCCGCGGCGGGTCGGTTCGGGTCGGCCGTCGGCCGCTGACTGGAACGCTTGAAAAATTTCACATTACGCGACCGAACGCCGCCAACTACCGTCCGCGAGCACGTATCATCTTCTTCCCGGATCCCGAGGGATCTCTCTTAAAATTATCCGAGATCGATCGATCGATCTCTCTTCGTCTACGATACGCGTTTCGCAATTAATACCGAAAACTGACGCGTGACAATTGAAAAGAGTAACAAGATGAAGAACTCTCGTTCTTCTATTGTACAGCAAATTAGAATTAACAAGCGCCGTCGAAGTTACATGTTATATCTTTGAAACCTATCGATTGTCAAAAGTTTGATGTATATTTGAATTGAAATCAAATTTATTCGATCTAGTTTTCGGAAGAATAAATTGCGCGACCATCGTTTCGACCGCAATGGTACACTTAGTATTAATTGCACCGATAACAATAGTCGCTGTCGCACGAGTGACGTCCACGATATCATTGTTTACGTAAAAATCTTCAAATTAATTCTATGCGCGTTGCTACTTCAACAAGGACAATGTACGCCGATCTTTTGTTACGCGCGTGATCGTGTGCTCGCAAGTTCTGGAATCAGGTATTAATGTCGTCAACATGTTGGTAATATCGTTAAGATCGCGAGTGCGCGTAATAAAATACGTATGAAACAATTAGCGAGAATTTATGTCCCCTTAAAAGGTCTATAAAAGCTTCCGTGGCTGTCTTTCGCTATTCTTGTTTCAGCATAGTTATCGCGATGAATGTTATTACAGAAAATGAGGTTGCTATTGCTTCGGAGTTTACAAGACCTAGGCGGCGCGATGGGTTCGAAGTGTAAAAACAAAAAGATCAACAATAAAGCACAATGAAAACTTGGGAAAAGGCTCCTTATGGTTGTTCGACCGCGCGATCGTTTTCCCGAATCTTTTATTTTCGCGCTAATACCTATATTTTGTTATCTGTAAACAATCGAGTGGACGATACATTGGCGGCGAAAGATTTAATTATCGCCATTACGGTTAGGTAACTCATAATTACAGTCGACTGAAAAGATCTCGTATCGGTAATTTTCGTCGAAAAACACGTAATGCATGCGTTTAAGCGAAGACAGGTCTTATACGAGCGATTAACAACGCAACATATAAATTAACGCATGCCGTGATTAGAGACGGTTAGTTATGGAAATGTAATGAAAGAAAGACTATAAAAATATCCTATCGATTCCTTAATTGTCCAATAATGACTGTCGTATTCGCTGTGTAGAATTTTATAATTATATATTCGGTATATGTGCTAGAATTGCGAATCTGTTTATTGAAAGCTTTTTTTGCCCGGAGACTATTGTGTAAGAAATTTAATTGTATTCGATCGAATCGACTGCCTCGTTTGAAAGCCTAATGAAAAGACGATACTGTAAAATGAATTGCGTTATCATTTTACGTCGACGACTCGTATTTACGCTACAACTAAATGATCATTACCCGTAACTAGATTAATTAATCTCCGGAAGTTGAACACGCATTGTCAGATTTTAGAAATATTTTTACACCGCGACGAAACTCAGAAAAAGAATACTCTTCTCTCTCATTTCTGTTTTCGATAATACAATTTTATATAATTCCATTGACAGGGGGACAATTAAACGGTAACTAGGCCACAGATATTTATGCAAACTCTTGTTGCTTAGGGCGAGAGCCAGCCATTAGCATAGAGATGAGAGCTATAAAATTTATTTCTGGATCGTCCAATCGTTTCTTGCGGAGAAAGGAATTATTAACTAATAACTATAACGATAATAACGTGTCCAGCGAATTAACAGAATAGCAAGTATAACTTAAATATAAATTACGCGTCGTTATAATTTTTATATTCTTGCGATGATATTTCGAAATGCGGAATCATACTTTAGTTTCATACTTTACTTTGCAAGTGCACGATAAAGTACGTTACCAGTTTGTAATATTTCGGGTATTTTGGTGTTACGTACGCGTTAGAAAATTCATAGATTCGTGTGTCAGTGAACGGCATGGTGTTTGTGTTAAAATCTCTCGGCCTAGAAAGAAAGGGCAATGAAGTAGTATGAGTCGGTTCGTGGTCAGACGTGTTACAATACCAAACTATACAGTTCGCGATCCTTTCTCTCTTTCAAGAATATATTTACGTTCCTACGTTTAGGTTAATAATATATCGCAATTTATCAATTTAAGTACAAGCTCGAGTAAGTGATTTACTATCTCAATTATTTACCCGTTTCTTGCACACTTTTACTGCTCGAACAATATAAATCAACCGAACCAGCAAAGAGCAAGAAAATAAGTAATACCGTAACGTCGTGAAAGCGGACGAAGCACGCTCGTTGGAAAGATTTCTCATCAAATTAAGCGAAAATAACAGACAAAATGGATCGCGGGCAAATTACGAGTTATGCTCGAACAGAAGTATAATGAAATCGCGGACAGAGAATTATACGGGGATAAAAATGAAGCTGGACTACGACGCGCGTCCTCGCGTAGTTCGAGCTTAATTAATTTCCGTGTCCACATAATTAAAAGGACGGGGGACCGATACATTTTCCTGAATCATGCAACCGGGAACGCAGCTCCGTCGCGCCGCGCCGCGCTGCGTCGTTTCGAATCCGGAGAGAAAAGGAGGAAAGGAGAAAAAAAAGAATTTCTCCCCCCGATGCCGGGGCTACCAAACGGAAATATATGAACTGGTCAAAATAAATGGTTCACCGTGCACGTTCCTATAAATATCGGAGTTCGACAACTCCAAAGAAACGAGAAGCCGGTAGGTACTTTCTTCGTAACACGCACGGGCTCACGCAGAGTTGACGTTCGTGCGTTGATTTCTCCGACGTCGGATGCAGGATGCATAAAGCCTGTTGTACACTTGCGCATTTTTCCCGTCGCCGGTAAACGGAAAATTAATGGTCGTCCCGATGGAACAAGATGCGGACGGAGCCGTAGAAAACAATGAATATTTCCTTATGGATTCGATAAATCACGAACAGAATTACATTCGCGTCTATGCGATCGACATGCACGCCGCCGATCTAATAGCGTTACAGCTGCCAGGCATCGAAGTTGTTGAAATTATAAAGAGTCCTTCGTTTGGAATCGTTCGATCAATTTCTTTGTCCGAACCTGCTTATTATATTTACAGTGAAAATAAAATCTCTATACGAGTTCAGTCTTGTCATCGTTACAAAGCAACACCGTTCACATTCAATGATCTGCAGATTTGCTGTTTTAATACGTCATTTCGGCCATATTTACCGATACTAATTCGGTTAATAATGGGAGAACCGACGATCTAATTTTACGTACAGTTTATGCTCACTTTTACGCAATAGACATTATCGATTATTTGTAATTATTTTTGGTGCTATCCTATTTTAATTTTGTTGCTTACCAGACAAGA